CTATAAGTAATATGTAAGTAGAGTAATATGTACTTAATTTGTAGTACCTACAGTAATTTTTTGATATGCAGTAGTTTACTAGTGGAGAAATTTGGTATGCTTAAATTTCTAAATAGAGGTCCAGTAAAGAAATCCCCTTTAATAAATATTTATTTAGATATTGTAATTAGACTGTTTACGACATTATTCCGTTCATAAATATTAAAGAATTAATCCTACTCGATAATTCTGATAATCCTTCAACTATTTGATAGGAAATCTAATATTTTATGATATTACAGTATTGGTATTAGACACGTCATCAAATGCTTTTGTTTGTTGACTCATATTTACTAATAGATATATTGTAGATACGTAAATATACTTAACGTGACGCTTTTCAGTCCTTCAAGAGGTAAGCAGAGGTAGGACATTTACGGGCTGTTTCACAACGTCTGGATAGCCGCTATGAAGGTACATACCAACCAAATACCAAATAAACTCGAATTAGGGACGTAATTTTTAAGAACTTCTTTGTATATTATTCTCTTATAATAATATCGTGGGTGCGTTTACGAACATATTATAAGTTTACATACACATGACACCCAGACACGAAACAACAATTTGTGAATCACACAAAGGAATGCTCCATGATGGAATGAAACTCACTAAACATGGGTGAGGCGAGAAGCAGTACCTATCAGATTCTTGCTGACTAAAAGCCACCCCGTTCCTACTCCTACTTTTCGAGCCGGAGCCCGTTAGGCCTCCCGCGGCTCCGTATCAGCCACCAGCCCTACTGGGCCCCATCTGTGGTGGTCTGATACCTTTTCGAGATGCGCTCGGATCGCGACACGCCGTAGGTACACACAGGTCTAGTTCTGGTCGGGCAGCGTGCTACCCTTGCTCGCCTGACGGTGGCCAGAGATCCACGTGGCCCGGAGTGTCTCCCACGACGGCTGGGGCGTGAGGAGGTTCGTTCTCTCACGTGCCCCGCCCCCTTCTTGATTAGCATGACTGCTTCGCAGAAGGAGCAGACTGAATGCCAGTCGCCCTCGCTCCTTACCATGGCCTGAACCAGAGCCGGATGAGGTGCTTGCTTAGGGCTCTCTCTAGGATTCGTGGGCTCTAGGTCATCATCATCAACAGCCTATTAATGCCCACTGCTGAGCAAAGCCTCTTCTTACACGGAGAAGGTTTGAGCATTAATCACCACGCTTGCTCAATGCGTGTTGGTGATTTCAAACTTATAATTAGAAATTATAAGTCCAGGTTTTCTTACGATGTTTTCCTTCACCGTTTGTCAGTGGTGTCTAAATAATCTTAGAAAGTACCTACATATGACTCGGAAAAAGTCACATTGGTACTTGCCGTTGGTAGGTTTCGAACCAGCACCCTCATGTAGATTTACATGTAAAAGAACGAGTAAGAACCTCCATGTTTCCTACTCTATCAGTACCAGGCAGACCCTTAAAGATAAAACTATCTAAAAACTGTGAAACTAAAAAACCCAATGTCTAATGCTCAATTCGTATTAAAAAAGGTATAGACGAGAATTATAAAGTAGGTAGGTACATAATCTAGGTACTTAGAAATTGGTTAATCTTAGGCGTCGACAAGTTAATCCTACTTAAGTACCTAATTATAATAATTTACGATACTTACTACTTATATTATCGTTTTCGCGGCAGCTACATTCATTGATAAATATGTAAATCTCATATAATTTTCAGTGGTTCAAAACACTTAAAAATCTTGTTTTGTAGTTGTAGTCTAGACGGCAAAGACGGATCACCTGATGATAAGCAATCAGTGCAGCCCATGGACATCCACTAAAGGAGATACAAAAAGGTCCAATATGTCTTGGTAACATTTTGGAGAAGCGTCACACCGGTATCCAGTGACGTCGTAAAATCACTCTGGTTGCACCGGCTCAACAGTGCCGAACAATGTCTTTATAACGTGAAATAAATATGTAGGATGCTCCGAAAGTACTTAGGACGATGTACCTCCCTGCCAAGATTTTAGAGACCGCTCTATTTTAAGACAAATCACAAATATCGAGATATGAATAGTCCAGGATAAGAAGGTAGGAAGGTACTTCGTTAGCCGAGTCTTCGTAAGTGCAATTTCCAAGCAAGGAGTCTAGTGTCCGAATTCCAGATGAGGTCATCTGATCCGAAAAACCGGCCTTCTGATGGCACCCTTCGATAATTGATCAATGAAACAAATATTTAGACAAAACAAGTCATAATAATTACAAAATGGTCATTATCACTTGGTGTTTCAGCATCTAGAATAAATTGTATATTTATGTTTCTTTTTATCACAGAATCAATCTTTGGCACACTTTTTTACAGCCTAGTCACAAGTCATAAAAGGTACATAACGTTCTAAATGAGTAAACAATAATACAAATAAAATTGTCTGTTTAGGAAACGATGCCGATGACATTTTATCGGAAATATATTGCTTTTTATATCTCTTCATTATTAGTACCTATTCCAATAATCGATGTCCGACTATAGGCATAATTTTGTCTTCCTCTATTGATTATAATCTGTGCAAAATTATTTGACAGCTCATGAAAAAATTTAACAATCGTATTATCTGCGATTTAAGATATATTTTTCAATGTTTTCGTGTATTTCGATAGCAAAGTGGTTTATCAATTAATTGTTACCTTATTTATATAAAAGTAGTTGATTGGTCTTTAGGAATTAGACAGTAATACACAGCTTTAGACTGTTTAGGATTCTGTCCAGTGCCGCGATCAGCGCGTCTTAAGTGAAAAAAAAACATCGCGCCTTTTTTGTTCTAATATTTTTTACTCTGTGACATAACTCGAAATTTCAAATTTCAAAATGATCGGTAAGTGTTTTTTATTTTACGGTGGTTTTTTACTATATTATTTTTCGTTTTACGCTTTATATATACTTAGCCTAAAAATTATTTATTAAATATTTTAACAATTATGCTGCATTAAAAAGATATTTCGATAAGTAATCGTAAATCGTAAAAATAAAATTAACATAGGTAAATAAAAAAATGTTTTAGCTCGTAGATTTAAATTAGAATAGGAAAGTCGAAGTCAAATGAAATGGAAAAATAAAATTAAAATAATAAAAATATTTTATTTTTCTTTAGATTAATATTATTAATATCTGCATTCTTTTTTTTTTTTTTTTACTTTGCTCCACACTAGGATTTTCTCCTGTGTCGTGGGTGCGTTTACAAACATACAAGTTCACATACACAATGACACCCAGACCCGAAACAACAATTTGTGGATCACAAAAAGTGTTGTTCCGTGCGGGAATCGAACCCACGACATGTTGCACGGCAGCCGGTTGCCCAGCCACCGCACCAACCGTGCATTGGATACGGTGAACTGATACAACTTTTACCCCTAAGGAATATTTTCCTAGTACCTAGTTAGATAGTTCAGATACCTTAAGTAGGTACTGCTTTTTAGAAGGTAGGAAACGCATTTGCAACTGCCGACTGGTGCCGTGGGCGGTCATGGCGCTGACTTAGGTAGGTACTATCAGGAATCCGGATATCCCGGGTACTAGGATCACCGAATAAGTGACTTTTCTAATTATTTTAACAAAAATCAAAGACAATGACATTATTGCAATTTGGTATACCTAGGTACTAATTATTATGATTTTGCAACTGATTTCAAGCAATCGAATGAACATTTTTAATGCTAAGTTAAGTAAAGCTCAACAACCCGAGGCCCGCAAGAGTAGGCAGTTTTTTTTAAGGGGAGAAAATTATCGAATGACTTCTCCCGCCTGGGTGAGGCGGGAGGGAGTGTCAGACTCTTACTGACTAAAAACCACCCCGTTCCTTTTCCTGCACGTCGAGCCGGAGCCCCGATTACCCGTTAGGTTCTCCGCGACAAGAGTAGGCAGTTAGGTACCTACCTACCTAATTCTTTGTTAAATAGATACTTTGTTATACATATAGACTCAGCTAATTAGTTAATGTACTAAAATAGTGTATGACGTGAATCAACAAATCCCTTGCTAATACTGATTAGGTGAATTAGATAGAAATAGAAAAACCCTCTGATAGATTGATGTGACGCTATTGGTTATTAGACTGATTAGTAAATAGGCAGACCGTAGCTATTATTTATAATACTTTGTTTTGTAGGTACTTTTTAAATGACGTAGATATTTAAGTAGGTAGATATAGGTACATAGGTAGGCTGTACCTAACCAAATTAAATATGCCGAAAGGGCGCCAAATGTACCGTGTAATGACTACCGGATACATTTCGGTCAGAATCGAAACAGCTACAAGTTGCAGCCATTTTTAGATTGGAGATACTTATTAATTAGAGATTTAATTAGTACCTAGTACTAAATTAATCTTTTTGCGTATTAATAGTCTACCATTCGCTATACATGTACATAAATATTACATACATAATATAAAACAAAGTATGAGACTGCCTCGTTGGCTGAGTGGTCGCAAGTGCGACTGCCGGGCAAACGGTATCGAATTCCATTTCCGGGTCGGGCATAGTATTACTAGGTTTTTTTTTTAAATCTCATTAGTAAGTAAGCGGGTGTTACATTGTACAGTGACATTAAATACCGTAATGTGCACCTCTGCCTACCCCTTCGAGTATAAAAGGCGTGATGTTATGTTATGTTATAAAACAAAGTTGCTTACCGCAACTGTTCCTATGTGTGCTTAGATCTTGAAAACTAAAGAACGGATTTTGATGCAGTTTCTTTAATAGATATGAATATTTAAGAAGAAAGTTCACAGTTAACCCCTCGAGCGTCCTTATGAGCACCCGGCGGATCATAAGAAAAAATGTTCCAAATGTAACGTGTGCACCCGTTGGATCATAAGGTACGCGGACGCTCGACGGGTTAACACGTGCAAAGACGTGGACAAAAGCTATAGGTGTAGATAGAATACATTATAAAGAATACAAGTCAAATGTACAAAAAATAATTATTGTTTTGTTTATTAATAATTTATTAATATCACTATCAACTAGAAATTTTAACATCAATGCATTCGCCACCTTCCAGCTCGAGATCCCGAGGCGTGGACTTATCTGTAACAAGAATAATTTCATTTTAATATTATTAAGTATAGGTAATACGAACGCAAGTCTAGGTCCACCTATATATTTTATGCATATTCACTACTAACTACTTCCGCGCAGTTTCACACGCTCTGCTCAGCTCTTATTGGTCGTAGCGTGGTGTTTTATAGCCTATAGCCATCCTCGATAAATGCGCTATCCAACAAAGAAAGAATTTTTCAAATCGGACCAGTAGTTTCGGAGGTTAGCGCGTTCAAACAAACAAACAAAAAAACAAACTCTTCAGCTTTATAATATTAGTATAGATGCATGACTATATAAACAATTTACTATTATGTAATATATCTGTTGTCTGCCTCGTTTGCCGAGTGGTCGCAAGTGCGACTGCCGGGGCAAGGGGTCTCGGGTTCGATTCCCGGGTCGGGCAAACTTTACAGGGTTTTTAAAAAAAATCTCAGTAGTAGCATGGAGTCTGGTATTGTGCCCGGTATATGGCAATAGGCTCAACCCCTATTACATGGGACTCAAAACATAAATAGTGAAAAGTGGGTGTTATATTGTACAGTGGCACTAAGTGCCGTAATGTGCACCTCTGCCTACCCCTTCTGGGATAAAAGGCGTGATGTTATGATGTTAAGAAAGTACAAGTGTAAACTAGATCTTTGTCGAGAATTCTTTTAAAATAGAAACCTGGGAAAGTGTAATACAAACACCAATTCAAAACTTACTCGATATCAAATCTCCGTCGAAATAGAATTTCAGTCTTTCTAGTTGCACCTCCAAGTGTTCCGCACACTTTACCATGGCCGCAGCAAACTTATCATCCGCTCCCAATGTCGTCTCAAATGGTTTCTTCATATTCTGACATTGAAATTTAATCTTAATTCCGTTAATCACTTTCTCCGAACTGTTGCTTGTTGCCAAATGTGACACATTCTGATTAACGATGCCCCCATCTATAAACTTCGCTATACTATAGTTAATTGAGTCTGGAGTATCATCCATCTTTATGATCCTATCGTTATACATAAACAATAATTTGTCGTTACCAACACCCTCCTTTTCCATAAAGTAATTGAATATCTGTGTTAATTTTTGATATTTCCTTATTTTGAATTTGAACACTTCTAAGTTCTGCCAGTATACTTTTACTGACATTTCTTCGTTGTCGTTGTCCAGCGGATCTTCATCATCAATGACTTGGACATCGTTATCAGCTGGTCTTGATGAGAATAGTTGCTGGTTATCACTCTGGTCTGGGTATTCATCAGTGTTGCCGACACTGTATATGGGGTAGTCGGCTGCATTGCGGCTATCAATTCTGTCAAATATGTTATCGAATATAGCCCACAGTTCCCTGCGATTGCGGATGCGTCCGCGACCTCGTCCTCTACTCCCTCTGCCCCTAGCTGCACCTCTCCTCGCCCCTCGCCCTCTACCTCGTGCAGAAGTTGTTGCAGTTTCAGACGCCGCTGGCGGTGTTGGCTCACGAAGCGGTTCCTCTATCACAGAATTATGTTCAACAGACGACGTGTTTTGATCAGTATCTACAGAACTACTCATACCTCTTCGTGAATTTCTAGTTTTCCGCCTCCCTGGTGGTGGTTCCTGCGTAGACGAGCACGCAGAAGCGTCACTGCTCTTTCGTTTTCCACCACGACCTCGCTTCGGCTTAGTCTTACTGTTCCTCGCTATAATCGCGTCCAGCGTAAATTCATCATTATCCGTACTATTTACAGTTACATTACAATCTTCCACGACCGGTATTGATGTGTTTTCTTCATTTTTAGGCAATTCTTTACTGGATTCACCGACTTCTAGCGAATCATCTAATTTGTAGCTTTCCAACTTTTCCTTCACAAAAGTCTTCTTTAATTTTTCTAATTGTTGAGCCACATTACCGTAGCAATCATCGTCAGAGTCGGAAGAAGACATTACAGTATGTTTTCTATACAAAACATTAGTTTTACAAACACAAAACACACTACGAGATAAAATTCAAAATATTTGACAGCTGTAGTGATGTACTAAGCGTCTCTTTTGACGCAATAATTATGTATCGATAGTTTTCATAGATATCTTCCGATCATTTTTTTTAATTAGGTATTAGATTTTCTCAGAACACAATCATGTTAAACAAATTATATTTTCAAATTGAAACATGAACATTATCTATCTACGCAGTTTTAGAAATATGTACAATAATGATTAATTTTTAACTGAGTAACTAATATGATGATATGTATTTGTTTATGATTATGAATTGGATCCAGAAAAATGTTTCTGATATATTCATATTAGTTTAATCCCTAATATTATTTTCTATAATTAATTTGTTCGATATCGATTATGAATTCTCGACGAAATGCAGAACAACACAAACTATTAAAACGTCAGTACTTGCGTTTTGTTACTCTTTGACGATAAAAACAATCTATCACAATTTATCAATTTACCATAATCTATTGATCACAAACAACTTGCGACACGTGTATAACGTTGTTAAATGGTCAATACGATTTCTAGAAACAAATTACAAATCGTTCACAATAAATTTTCCTGTTTACTAAGAATTAGGAAATAATTAAACGTAGATTAATGTTGCGTTCATAAAATATTAAAATTTCTAATATTTATCTTATCTACGTTGATAAAGATGGAAAATTATATTTATTTTATAGGCATATAAGTGCGATAAATAATATGTATGTATGACACATCACAAATGCCGGCAAATATAAAATTCCAAACACAAAGTCGCGTCTACATAATAACATCAAAAATTTTATTGTGTTTGGTGTAAGGCCTGCCAAAAACGAGTTTGATGCGGTGACAGCTGGAATTAACATTGATTTGGACTGAATCACCCACTTCGGACCCATTCGGACCACATACCATGAATAAACAATCATAAAAACATAGTATCACCTCTTTTTAAACTTGATAAAAATAACAAAATTAATTATCAAAACCAACGTAGCGTACCAGCAGCTGTAGCTAAATGCCATTTAGTGCTTGTCTACTTGTAGAATAGAAAACCAAATTATATGGAATTGACGTAAATTTTGACACTTGTCTGTGTCATCCATATACGTTTAGTTTTCTACTCTCTCTGTAGACATGCGCTAAAGCGGCGTTTGGCTAAAGGCACAGGTTGCTAAAGGTACGGCATTAGCGATCTCAATACCAAGCACCTTTTTTGCTAAGCGGTATCTACATCTACCACCCAACCACCTATTTGAGAATAAATATTTTTGCAATAACGATACGAAGTTTAATCAATTAATCATTAACTTATTACAATTTTCATATGGAAAGGTAACCTAACCTTATTTACATATTAAGATCTGGTAACGTAATTAAATCAAAATCAAATTATTGGCAACTTAAAATTAGAATCAAATTCAACTAAGTACTACCTAACTTAGATTAGAATTTATAAAGCTAAGTTTACATTAGGTATCTGTGAGTTCTCAGGTTCTCAGACTCTCAGTTACAATCAGTTTACAATGTTATTATAATATGTAGTTAGCTTTGACCTTTACAAAGAGATAAAAGGGTAAGTGCCCCATGTAGGTATTTACGCTTTTATTTCAAATTGTGACTGTTAAAAAACTATCTACCTATTTCCGCATTTTTTACCGCGTAATCGCAAGTCCACAGATAAAAAACCACTTTGCAGACAATAAATCTATTTATTATTTTATTGTCTTAAAAAATCTTTAATGGTGTTATTGCTCGTACAAGCAATTATTGTTCTATTTATCAAATTGTTTAATCTATTTACGATAAACTATAAAATAGTTTAGATCTCTGATTTCATAATTACAACATGTTGTTAAATTATCCAAAACGATACAACTTTAGATAATTTAATAGAAATAGAATTAGATAGATAAATATTGCGTAGGTCACATAAGTAAAGCGTTTAAACATTATAAAATTATTTTAATACTACTATCGCCGGGCAAAGTCTAAGCTAGTCCAAAGTTCAGACCCGTGCGTACGGCGCGTGGCATTCCGCGCGCGCCTCAAAGAACCATTAGACCACCACAGATGGGGCCCAATAGGGATGATTTTTTTAAAAAAAAAAAACGTTGCCCCACACTAGGATTTTCTCCTGTGTCGTGGGTGCGTTTACAAACACACAAGTTCACATACACATCACACCCAGACTCGAAACAACAATTTGTGGATCACACAAAGTGTTGTTCCGTGCGGGAAACGAACCCGCGACACGTTGCAAGGCAGCTGGTTGCCCAGCCACCGCACCAACCGTGCAGTCCCGATACAGAGCCGCGGAAGGCCTAACGGGTTGCCGGGGCTCCCGCTCGAGTAGGAGTAGGAATAATCCAATGACTTTCCTAGCCTTGGGTTAGACGAAAGGGAGTGTCAGACTCTTACTGACTAAAAACTACCCCGTACCTACTCCTGCACGTCGAGCCGGAGCCACGGCAACCCGTTAGGCTTTCCGCGGGTTGCTAGCTACGGCTAGTGTTAGTCTAGTACCTAATAACTACTTACGTAGATGATAAAAAATATTCAAGAACTTATTGTCGCCAACCTAATAACAAACGTTAGATTGTTATTAATCTTGATATAAATAAAACTGTATTGACGTCTTACATATGTAGATAAAAATCGATTAGCATCAACAACTATATTTTTTAGTTTTACAAGACAGATTAAAATCTCTTGTCTTTGTTCAGTTATTGATGTGTTTCGAGGACAATTATGACACTATGATGGACAAAATCATCGAATGACTTCTCCGCCTGGTTGAGGCGGGAGGGAGTGTCAGACTCTTAACTGCCTAAAATCCACCCCGTTCCTAATCTGGCCGTTAAGTTCTCCGCGCTCCGTATCGGCATCAGCCCTATTGAGCCCCATCAGTGGTCTGATTGGGCTCGTTGCGATTGCAGCGGTAAGTCCCCTCTTTGAGGAGTGGCTTGAGAGACTTTACGGCGTCCTCACCTACCTCCTGACGCAGGTCCTCACCGGACGGGAGTTTCGGGAGGTACCTGTGTCTGATTAGGCGGGAGGAAACGCTCGGGTGTCATCACTGAGGACCGCCCTGAGGACACGGTGGGACGCACAGTAGGGGAATGCCCTGTGGGCTGAGCACCGCCGTGCCCTCAGGAATGTGATCGCCGACGGCGACCTCTCGCGTCCGACCCTAGTCCGGGTAATGATGACAATCCCTCTCGCCTCACCCGGGCGGGAGAAGTCATTGGGTGATTTTCACCCCTCAAAAAACCAAAAGCCACAACAATGCACCGATAACTCCTTTAATATTATGAATGTACTTGATCTGCATACTGTTGCCCCTTAACTATATTGATATAAAAAAAAAACAATGAAGTTTTAAATGTATAAAAGGGATATTTCTTTATAGGAAGAGGGTAACGGTTCACGACACGGTTTAAAATGTCAAACACCGCGCGGTCACCGGTGACCGCAACCTATTGTTCTTTAATTGTGTCTATAATGACGGTACCTACTCAAAGAGTTAAAGAAAGAAGAATGTATTTTTATTAAATAATGGTTCCTTTATTTGCAGCCAAAGTCCTGACCATTGCGGCAGTGGTGTGTGTTGCTTACGCTGCTGAGAAGGCGGACAAGAATGGCACTGCCATCTTCAGAGCCTTTGAGAATGTGGACCCGAACGACCTTAGCTGCGATCCTGAAGGACATGTAAGTTGTAGTGCAAATAGTGTACATAGAAATATAGTACCTTTAACACTGAATAACTCAAAAGTGAAAACTGAACCGAAGACAACAGGTAAACGAAGACGCAATGGGTTCGTGTTACAATGTACAAGTGTGGGAGAGCCATGCTTCGGCACGAATGGGCCGGCTCGACCGGAGTGAGTTGACGAGAAGACGAAGTCGAAGAGAGACGCTAATATGTGATTTTTATCTAATCAAATCTGAGTGAATATTCACTCTTTTATGGTTCATTCCGAGTAGGCTAAGGTTCTTACAAATCTATTTCAGGACCAGGCTTTCTATTGACTAGTTTTTGCCAGTACCAGTTTGAGCGCTAATTCGTGTATATTTAATTTATGGTGTATTTTGTTTTAGATATTCCTACTGCTTCCTCACTTTTCCGACTGCTCAAAGTTCTACATGTGCGCTCATGGTGAAGAGGTGGAGTTCAACTGCGCCCCTGGACTTATCTTCGACTTCCAACTTCAGGTACTTGTATCACTTAGTAATTATGTTAATAGGTATTTTTTACACCATGGAGCTGGTGAACAAGCTTACGCTGCTGGGTCACCAATAGATTTAAGTTTGGGAGAGCCATTCTTCGGCACGAATGGGCCGGCGCAACCGGAGTGAGACCACGGCCTCGCAGGAAACCGACATGAAACAACAAGCGTTGTATTTCGTCGTGTGAATGAGGTTATCGGAGGCCCAATTACCCCCGCCTCCTTTCGCAATCTCCTCAATCCGTGAGTCCCCAACAATCCTCAAATACCTAATCTCCAAAAGGCCGGTAACGTACTTGTAACGCTTCTAGTGTTTCTGGTGTCTATGAACGACGCTGATTGCTTACCATCAGGTGATCCGTCCGCTCGTTTACCTGCTCATACCATAAAACAGACTGATGTACCGCATCATAAAAACACGCCAGAAATAAAAAACCCATGGGATATCCAGAAAAAAGAAGTGCTTTTCGATTAAATGTCGAAATTACCAATCGGTCTCAATTTAATGATCCATTCAGCTTAAACCTCTTTGGAATGAGTTCTATTTAGTTCTTTTTTTTCAATAGACCTGCAACTGGCCATGGGCTACGACCTGCCAGCTGAGGGACCCACAGCATGGCATCGGGGACGAGGGCTCCGGAGACGACATCATCGGACTTTTCGCTGATGAACTGGAGAAGCAGCCTGTTGGTAAGGCCATTTTCATTTTATCCTATTATATAAAGCGGAAGAGTTTGTTTTTTTGTTTGTTTGTTTGAACGCGCTAATATCCGTAACTACAAGTCTGATTTGAATAATTCTTTTTGTGTTGGATAGCGCATTTATCGAGGATGGCTATAGGCTATAAAACATCACGCTACGACCAATAGGAGCTGAGCAGAGCGTGTGAAATCGCGCGGAAGTAGCTAGTATTATATAAAGCGGAAGAGTTTGTTTTTTGTTTGTTTGTTTGAACGCGCTAATCTCCGTAACTACAAGTCTGATTTGAATAATTCTTTTTGTGTTGGATAGCGCATTTATCGAGGATGGCTATAGGCTATAAAACATCACGCTACGACCAATAGGAGCTGAGCAGAGCGTGTGCAACCGCGTGAAAGTAGCTAGTCCTATTATATGGTTCAACTTGGCGTGGCTTGCTGTGAAAGTGCACTTGTGTGCCTGCATACCCCTTCCTACTTCCCAGTATTAGATACCTACATCTTCTAAGCAAATACTTTACATGTTTCAGCTCCGATCTTTTCCCCCAATACTTTTGTTAATTTCATAATATGACGCCTTTTATCCCCAAACGGGTAGGCAGAGGTTTACGGCACTTAATGCCACTGTACAATGTAATACCCACTTTTCATTATTTACGTTATGAGTACCATATATACGGAGATGAGCCTATTAGCATATACCGGGCACAATTCCAGACTCCGTGCTACTACTAAGATTTAAAAAAAACCAGTAATATTTTGCCCGAACCGGAAATCGAAACCGAAACCTCTTGTCCGGCAGTCGCACTTGCGACCGCTCGGCCAACGAGGCAGTCCAGACGTCCAGTGCAGTTAATTTCCTTTGTTGCATTATGGTTCCGATTTTTTTTTATGGACTGACGTTAGACCACTATCTCACCTGGTGGTAAGCGATGATGCGGTCTTCGATGGAGCACGTCGACCTATAAGCAACCTATTCACTCGGGCCACAAAGACGGCCACGCCATACCCTTCAGGAAATAAAGAATCTGGCAACATTACAGATTTAAAAATAAGGGACGAGAATGTCGACTGCTTATTAAATAATTGGTCTTAAAACTCTTAGGAGTCATCTTTGAGACCTCTCTTAAGAATGTACGAGTGGAATGGAGGATAACTTCATAATGACCTGTTTTTGTACCCACAGATACTGTAGCCAGTGTAAGACCTATATCCCCAATACTGGGCAGGTACAACGGTATCATCAACTGTAACAGAGCTGATGCTGCAGCCAGACAGGTGCCTTATAAGTAAGTAGACGGAAATCTTATATCTTTTATACTTATACTTATTACTTATACTTATATTATACTTATACTTATATACTTATATATTTTTATATTTATATTTATTATTTATATTATATATTTTTATATATTTTATATTATTATATAAAGCGGAAGAGTTTGTTTTTTTGTTTGTTTGTTTGTTTGTTTGAACGCACTAATCTCCGTAACTACAAGTCTGATTTGAATAATTCTTTTTGTGTTGGATAGCGCATTTATCGAGGATGGTAATAGGCTATAAAACATCACGCTACGACCAATAGGAACTGAGCAGAGCGTGTAAAACCGCGCGGAAGTAACTAGTACAGTATATACTTCGTCCCTTGTTTTTTAACTATTATTTCAGTGTTTTGTTCTACTTTTTTATAATAAATAATTATCGTCAGACATACTGAATTAACTAATAATGATGGGTCGCTCCGTTCCCTATGAAATTGTTGATTGGACCGATTGCTAGCCCACACGTCATGCTCGTGAACGGGTGCCTTCTGCGGCTAATGAAAATGTAATAAAATATAATATGTGCATTGCATATGCACGGTTGGTACGGTGGCTGGGCAACTGGCTGCCGCGCAACGTATCGCGGGCTGATTCCCGCACGGAGCAACACTTTTTGTGATCCACAGATTGTTGTTCCGGGTCTGGGAGTCATGTTTATGAACTTGTATGTTTATGACGACTTTTATCCCCGCAGTGGTAGGCAGAGGTGCATATTACGGCACTTAATGCCACTGTACAATGTATGAATGTAACACCTATTTTTCACTATTTTATATTATGAGTCCCATGTAATAGAGGGTGAGCCTATTGACATATGTATACCGAGCATAATTCCCGACTCTGTGCTACCACTGAGAATTCTTTAAAATACAAAACCAGTAATACTTTGCCCGACCCCGTAAAAACCCGATACCTCTTGCCCGGCAGTCGCACTTGCGACCACTCGGCAAACGAGGCAGATTATATTATAATACTTTGCTAAACCAGCTATTTTCTCCCCAGGGGTGACTGCCAAAGGTACTGGAGATGCGTCGCGGGCATACCACAAGTGGTATTCTGTTCCGACGGCCTATTCTTCAATGAATTCACTCAACAATGTGACTTCGAAGCCAACTCTAAGTGCATACAGGAACAAGAAGACGAATTGAAACAGGAGTTCATAAAATACGAATAATTATACAATATGGCTGACTTCAAAATGTGATATAGAGGGACAGGCAGACTTTTAGATTGACCGTCGTCGTGTGAGTGAGGTTACCGAAGGCCCAATTACCCTCCCCTTCCTGAATCCCCAACGATCCTCAAACTCCTAATCCCCAAAAGGCCGGTGACGCACTTGTAACGTCTTTGGTGTTCCAGGTGTCCATGGGCGACGCCGATTGCTTACCATCAGGTGATCCGTCTGCTCGTTTACCGGCTTATGCCATAAAAACTGTCAACAGTTTGTCAAAACTCAGCCGACTATGGTTATTTGGCTGAGTTTTGACCGTTTATAAACTTTGTACAGTTTGTTACTTAATATCTACATTATTCATTATCATGTTTGTGTACATAATTAATGTTGAGAGAATAGTTTATAAAATGTAAGTTGGTAAATAATTATTTAATTAATAATTCAGCTAGCATTGATATTGACCGATTGGTATAAAAGTGATTAGATTCGCTGGTCGACATTAATCACACAGTATTCCATCATCAGGAAACCTTTATCTATGTATTATATTACACTCTATGCATTTGTCATATTAATCTACCTCTATACGTTCGTCTTTCGTTTTAATTAATTTATTTACTGCAAGAGATTTTATAACATAAATTATAAATTAAGTCTTATCAATTTTGTACATAACTTAACATCACGCCTTTTATCCCCGAGGGGGTAGGTAAAGTACATTACGGCAGTTAATGCCACTGTACAATGTAACACCCACTTTTTATTATTTATGTTGAGTCCCATGTAATAGGGGGTGAGCCTATTGCCACATACCGGGCACAATTCCAGACTCTGTACTATTAATAAGAGTTTTTGAAAAAGTCCAGTAATACTTTGCCCGACCCGGGAATCGAACCCGAGACCCCTTTCCTGGCAGTCGCGATTGCGACCACTCGGCCAACGAGGCGATCAAGATCAATACCAATTTTGTATTTCTAGCTAATTATGCTTAAACTGTCAAAGACCAAGCGGTCACCGGTGACCGCGACCTATTGTTCTTTAATTGTGTCTATAAAACCGGTACTCGACGAGTTAAATATGTAAGTTTTGCTGAATACAGACTTTACTTTTGCTAAACAAATGGTTATTTTATTATAGTGTCATTGATCTGTACAATAATTTTCTACAATAATTTATTTTATATTTTATTTACAGTATAATGTATGATATTAATTTGTTTTATGATATAAGGAAATAAATAAAAGATACGTACAACAAGCAATATTGTTTTATTTATAAAAATATTTTACGATAATAGGGTAGTTTCGTAAATTTTATTTTAATGTCCGTCTGATACATTAACTTAAAACTTTAGACACGTGTTTTTTCTTTTCTCACAAATTTAAATACTTTCGACGATATATTAATTTGAAATATCGTGTGACGTCACAGCGTCCCACATTTTGTAGCACGTTATGACGTAACGACCTCCCACTCCTAAACTTACCGCCATTTTATCTAATTATTGCAACTTAATACGAGAAAATAAAAAAATACGTGTCTAATATTTTTTCACTGTCTTACTGACGGACTAATTAGATTTTTAATTTTGATAACTTAAACACTACCCAATTGATGATACATGATCACATTAAAATCGGGTCATTTAAACTATATACTCAAACTCACATACATACTACAAGTCATACAGAAAACTTATATGAAGAATATTCATTGTATTATTAATATCCTTGACCCTTGAAGAAGCTGGGTCCAGGTTTATCCACTCTTTCGAATGGATAGTACGGGTGATTCTGCCAGAATGTTGGGAAGAATATTCTATAGTCCCTGTTGAATTCACCTGTTGATACAATAATTATTATTAGGTTCATTATTATCTAATGATAAGGAAATATTAGTGCAAAGTTTCGTCGTAATTCGACCGGTAGTTTCTGCGTAATGCGTGAACATACATACAAACAGATAGACAGACATAACATAACATCACGTCTTTTATCCCCGAAGGGGTAGGCAGAGGTGTACATTACGGCACTTAATGCCACTGTACAATGTAACACCCACTTTTCACTATTTATGTTATGGGTCCCATATAATAGGGGGTGAGCCTATTGCCATATACCGGGCACGGAGTCTGGAAGACTCCGTGCTACTACTGAGATGTTTTCAAAAAGCCCAGTAATACTTTGCCTGACCCGGGAATCGAACCCGAGACCCCTTACCCGGTCGCAATTGCGACCACTCGGCCAACGAGGCATTTTTTTATCACAGACAGTTACAGACAGACAATTTTTTTAAATCTCATTTTTGGCTTCGGTGTCTATCTAGCGCCCCCTACTATATATTTTGTTTAATATTTTCAATTTACAGAATTTACAGTTCTACAGTTTTATTATATGTATAGATATAATGACATCAGACTACTGATAGGATAGAATAGACAAAACAAATAATTATGGGATAAGCCGGTAAACGATCAGACGGATCACTTGATGGTAAGCAATCGGTGTCGCCCACGGACACCTGGAACACCAGAGGCGTTACAATTGCGTCACCGGCCTTTTTGGGATTAGGAATTTGAGAATTCTTGGGATTCAGTGGGAGATCATCACTTCGGTCAAGCCTGCCCATTCATAACGAAGCGTTTTTTTTTGTGGCATAAGCCGGTAAACGAGCAGACGGATCACCTGATGGTAAGCAATCGGCGTCGCCCATTGACACTTGGAACACCAGAGGCGTTGCTAGTGCGTTACCGGCCTTTTGGGGATTAGGAATTTGAGGGTTCTTGGGATTCAGGGATTGGGGGAATTAAGTATCACTCTGGTGGAGCCGGTCTATTCGTGCCGAAGCGTGACTCTTAATATTAACAAAAAGAGACCAAAGGCTTGTTTATAAAGTTCAAGTTTAGTCTTTAGTTAATTAGAAATTATGAAACAGGCTCTGATGTAGTACCTAAATTATCAAATTATAGCTAAAAATAAGACAAGCAATCATTTAGGGCATTTGGCAGACTTTAGAGCATTCAACGAATTTTGGCTGACATTTAGATCAAACGGCTGACTTCTGACTACTTACTCAAAGTCTGCATTTCTTCGTCAGTCAGTTGGAAGTCAAATATCTGTATGTTCTGTTGTATCCTGGGTCTTTTTACTGACTTCGGTATAGGGACTAGACCTCTTTGCACCTGAAAATGGTAAACGTATGAAAGGACGGGTGAGAATGTGATCGTGAAAGTTTGAATAGAGTAGTTTCAGAATACTACGTTTGACTGCACAGTTGACGTGGTGGTTGTGCAACCGTCAGCCTCACCTGTTAATTGAGCTGACTGTAAACCGACACATGCGTACTGCCTTCAGAACGGGTCCGCTCAAACTGTTGTGGTTCTTTCCTCAAAAGGCCACCACAGAAAGAACTTGCACGGTTCTCACACATAATCTTTGATACACATTTGTCTGGACTTTAAAAGAGACGGATCTCTGAGTTTGTTTCGTCATGTCTTCTCAAAGTAGTCAGTTAGGAAATGTCGACCTCATCGTTCGCTTGATAAAATTGACGTACTTGTACTACCTTGTAGCCTATTTGCAGAAATAAATTCACTTGTTTCACTTGTTATTCCGTGTCTGGGTGTTATGTGTATGTGAACTTGTATGTTTGTAAACGTACACACGACACAGGAACAAATCCAAGTGTGGAGCAATGTTTTTTTAAACTACTACTATAACCTCTTTCGAATTCAAATCAAAGTCTGATTTTTTTATAGCCTGAATATCAATTTTCGTTTATTAGGTTTTATTTATTGGTCAAATTTCCGTGGTGCTTGGCGACTGGGCTTTACCCAGTTGTACCTTCACTTTGTCTCCTGCAGTAATTCACCGAGGGAAGTGGAAACTATCGTTTTTTTCTACTCCTCTATAATATCTTCTGATTCACTTCGTTGCGGGAACCAAGACAGTTATTCATGTCCCTGGGACGCGCCGGACTTCAGTGTTACGATGTTTTCATGGCTGTAACTACTGTAGATCCTGGCTTACAGGAGTTGCAGCAGTTTTGGGAGGTTGTGGCGGGATTATCCCTTAAGAAAAACCTGAATATCAAATTTTAACTAAAATATAAAAAGTTCTTACCAAATATCTCAGTACAATTTGAGGGGTGGTCTTATTATGTTTATTGGCCATTTCCACCAATATGGGGTCGTTGTACCTAGGAGCTGGGGGTCTGGGCGGGGGGTCCCTGCTGAACAGGGAACCGAACGGAGCGTACGCCATCACCACTATATCCTGACTCTTGCAGTAGTCTACCAGTTTATTTTGAGCGAGGTTCAAGTTTACCTGGATGAGATAAAATATAGTTTTTTAATCTTTGAAACATTTATGGTATTTAATTCCCAAAGGTACCTTGAATTACTTTCGTTATGGGAGCCATCCCATATAATTAGGACTGTCTATTGCCATATATTGGAACAATTCCAGACTCCTCTGAAAAACTGAAAGAAAACACCCCAATAATTCTTTATCTCACCCGGTTATCGAACCCAAAATCACTCTTGTTCGGTACACTTGCGAACAATTTTCCAAAAGGTTAAATATCTTCAGCAGTTCATGACGTCCACGAGTAACCTGATAAAGGTTGTGGAGCCGCTGTATACAGGTCGCTTAACCGGTCTATCTAGAAGTCATTGGGAGAGGCCTATGTTCAGCATTGCAATTGCACAACTTGATTACCCCTAGTTCATCATCGTACCACAAAACAATCGGTAACGCTGCACCGATTGATGGTAAATGTCCCATCCACACGCACGCAGCGCTTCGCATCAAGCTTCCTTGTGTGTGTGCGTGGAATTCTTTGCCAGAGTCTGTGTTTCCTGAAGGGTTTTCAAGGTCCGAGTGAATAGGTTGCTTATGGGTCGACATGCTCCATCGTAGACTGCATCATCGCTTACCACCAGGCGAGATAGTGGTCAAACGTCGGCCCGTCAAATATAAAAAAGCAGTGGACGTCTTGGG